GGGAATCCTCCCCCATCCCCTGCTGCCCTTTGCTTTTTTTGAATTTTATCTACAGTAGCTCAACCAGTTTCTTACATTAAATCTAGGAGAAAGATCCCACAGGAAGAGGAGAGAAGAGGAAACACTGTGACATACACAAGGAGAACTCCAGCCAACACTAACACCAGACCTCAGGACAAGCTAGTTGACCAGAGCCTAACTGATCAGGGTGTAAGCAAATACTTATCTCAAACCACCCTAACCACCCTTCCCTGCCCAATGGGAGAAGGCATAGTTCATAGTCCAAAGGCACAATCTCACTAAAAGACTGAGACCTAAAATCACAGTCCTTCTATAACCATGGCACTATGGTCCCTGTCCTACCTCCACAACTTACCATGTCACTAAAAGCCTATTTAGAGCACTTCCTTTTATGCAGTACAGAATGCCTGGCAATTAATAAAACATTACAAGACACCCTAAAAGGCAAAAACTGTATTGTCTACAAAAAAAAATTCACTTTAAATATGAAGACAGGAATGGGAAAAGATGTACCATGTTAATACTAATCAAAAGAAAGGGGACAAGCTGTATTTCTTTCAGACAGAGCAGACTTCAGACCAAGGAAAGTGATCAGGGATAAAGAGTGGCATTACATGAAACATCAATTCTTCACTGAAACGTAACAATCCCTCCCTAAAGTGCATGCCCTTAACAGAGGGTGAAACTATGTGAGGCCAAAAGTGATAGAAATACATGGAGAAATAGAATGACCCACTATTACCACTAGGAGATTTTAATACTCCTGTATCAGAATAGGACAGATGTGGCAGGTGTACAAAATCAGTAAGGACAGCTGAACTCAACAGTACCCTTAACCAACTGGAAATAATGGACATCCACAGACTTCTTTGTTCAACAGAATACACATCTCACACCCACATGGAGCACTCACCAAGACAGTACATACTGTAGGCCATTAAAAAACACTTTTACAAATTAAAAAGTATATTAATCATACAGTGTCTGCTCTTAGCCTACAACTGAATATAGAAAACAAGGATAGCTGTAAAATCACCTAATACTTTGAGATTAAATACTAAGTAACACTGAGTCAATGAAGAAATCTCAGGAGAAATTTAAAGATTTTGAGCTAGGGGTACCAGGTGAGTCAGTCAGTTAAGCGTCCAACTCTTGGTCTCACCTCAGGGTCTTGATCTCAGGGTCATGAGTGGCACTGGCACTGGGCTCTGTGATAAGCACAAAGCCTACTCAAAAAAAAAAAAAAAAAGAAAAGAAAAGAAAAGAAAAAAAAGATTTTTGAAATAAATGAAATAGAACTTGTCAAAATTTGTTGGATGACATGGAAGTAATGATTAGAGGGAAATTTACAAAATTGAAAAGATTTGAAAATCAATTATATAGTCTCTATCTCGGAAACTAGAAAATAAAGAGCAAATTAAATTCAAAGAATAAGAAAATAAAAGTTAAAGCAGAATTAATGAAATTGACAACAGAATCAATAAAAAAATAAAAAAGCTGGTTCATTGAAAAGATCAATAAAGTTGATAAACCACCAGCCAGCTTACTGAGTGAAAAAGGGGAAGACACAAATGACTAGTATCAGAAATGAAAGAAGGTGCCACTTCAGATCCCATGGACATTAAAAAGATGGAAGGAATACTATGAACTCTATTACCACAGCTTTCATAACCTACACAAAATGGACCAATTCCTTGAAAGACAGAGTTTGCTAGACTCATACAAGTAGAAATGGACATCTGCATAGACCTATATCTATTAAAGAAAAAAATCAACTGATAACCTTCTAGAACAAAAAGTACAGGCCCAGAAGGGCCCATTGAAGACTACCAAACACTTAAGAAGTTACCAACAGATCAATAGGATAGACTGGAGAGCCCACACCCAGACCTGTGTAATTAACCGATGTTTGACAAAGGAGCAAAGACAAAACAATGGAGCAAAGATGGTCTTTTCAACGAACCATCCCGGAACAACTAAACATACACGTGCAAAAAGTGATTCTAGAAAAAGACCTTAAACACCCTTCACAAAAATTAACTCAAAATGGACCACAAACCTCAATGCAAAATGCAGAAACTATAAGACCTAGAAGATAACAGAAAACCTGCATGTCCTTAAGAATAGTGATGACTTCTTATACAAAATACTAGTGGCATATATGATGCATGCAAGAAAGAACTGAAAGCTGACTTCATTAAAATTTAAAACTCTGCAAAAGATACTGATACTGTCAACTGAGTGAAAAGTCACAGACTGGGAGAAAATACTGATAAAGGACAGTTACCCAAAATATACAAAGAACCCTTAAAACATTAAGAAAATAACCCAATTAGGGGGTGCCTGGGTGGCTCAGCCAGTTAAACATCCATCTGACTCTTGATTTTGACTCAGCTCATGATCTCGTGGTTCATGAATTCAAGCCCCACATCAGGCTCTGTGCTGACAGTGTGGAGCCTGCTTGGGATTCTCTCTCCCACCCTGTCTGCCCCTCCCCTGCTCATGCTGCCTCTGTCTCTCTCATAATAAATAAACTTAAAAAAGAAAGAAAAAAGAAAAGAACCTGATTAAAAAAGAGGCTTCAGACCTTAACAGACACCTCACCAAAGAAAATACACAGACAAAACTTGCTGAATATACATATGAAAACATGCTTCACATCATCTGTCATCAAGGAAATGCAAATGTGTTTAATACACAATTTTATCCAGCTATTTGACAAGTTCTAATACATTCCTCTCATTTCCTACTTAACTAACTTTATCCAAAAATGATGTAAATTATCTTCAGTGAATCTATAGTCAACATTTATCTTTCCATACTGGCATCCATTCGTCTCTTGGCAATAGGCCCTTCAAGCTCCTTTGAAAATGGAGAGACCTTCTATGTCCAAATGGAATATGACTGGCTTATACACCTTCAACATGGGGCATATAACCTAGACTGATTAAGGAGACTGGTCCCTATTCCTGGCTTGGTAAGTAGAACAAGGAGGGCATGTGACAAAGCCAGACCACTGACAGTGAGCTTTGGAACTCATTGAATCTACTGGAAGAGCGGGCTCTTCTCTGAGACCCCTAGCCATAAAATCATTACAGGCCTAGGAATGCTGTAACCATCTTTGCCACTTTGAAATGGCTAAGTATGAGATTAATACAGAGAAAGTCAAAACCTAGAAATAAAGGGAAATAAGTACTAATATGGATTATGTCTTTTGATTCCCTATTTAGCCAACCTGAAGTGGCTTCTTTCTTGCAGTTTCTAGGTTACACAAGACAGTAATTCCTAAAATCTCTGAGTTTGATTGCAATTAAAACAAACAAGCAAATAAGCAATACAAATCTGAGTCCTACTTCCAGTACTCACCACTTTAATTCTAAATCACAACTCTTAGGACAAATATTTTAAACCTGAAGGTGAAGGGCGCCTGGGTGACTCAGTTGGTTAGGTGTCTGACTCTTGATTTTGGTTCAGGTCATGATGTCACAGTTTGCCAGATCAAGCCTGCCTCCGGCTCTGCACTGACAGCATGGAGTCTGCTTGGGATTCTCTCTCTGCCGCTCTCCTGCTTGTATGGGCACTCTCTCTCAAACTTTAAATAAATAAACAAACCTGAAAGTGAATCACATGAACAAACTGCACAAGTATGGAATCTCAGCCTTTTAATTCAAAGAAAGTTTAAGGTACAATATGCATTTCTTTTAGGAATTTCCCACCCTCTGACCTCAAGAGTTTTCCTCATATAATTCCTTCATCTACCATTCCAAAATCACATTTCAACATCTGTATTAATTAGGGGATCACCAGAGAAATAGAGCTAACGGAATGCTTATATATAAAAATTTCTTTAAGCTCATGTGGAGGTACAAGTCCAAAATATGTCAAGTAAGCCGTCTTGCTGGAGACAGTGAGGAGCTGAAGTCCGTAGACCTTATGCTGGCAGAATTCCTTATTGCTCAGACTACAGCTATAAAACGGCTGCCACCAGGAGCTCCTTGGACTAAAAATTCTACTCATGTGGGATCATTGACTGATGAACTCAAAAGAAATCCTTATCACACATAGTTTTCTCCTTGGAAAACAGTTGCATAAGATACCCAACATGCTTTATCTACAACAGGGTACACAGAAGAATAGGTTTAACATTATCTTTGCTACTGGAGGTAGCAATCACCCCATGGATTCTCCTGCACTGCCTAAAGCCCTCTCCCACCCCGTAATGCATGAAATCCTAGATGTCCACCTCCCAAACTTTTAAGTTTTGCCAGACTTCTCCCAGAGTACTTTTTTTTGACCTTACCATAATAGCTTTTAGAATCTTTAGGCCTTGTTAAAAAAAAATTATAGGGACTAGGAGCTCTAGGTCCCTCTACTAGACTAGTTTAATAAAATTTTGGTTTGACTCCTGTGTAACTCTGGGCAAGTCCCAGACTCCGAGCCTCAGTTCCCCCATTTGTGAAACAAAGACAGCAGTAATACCTAGTCCATCAGGTTGTTGAGGTCAAATGAGAGAACCTACGTCCAGTATTTAGCAGAATAACCGGCATATAGCTAGAAGTCAAATGTTACCTATTAAAATGGTGAACTTCAAACACTGCCCCTATGTGCTGCCATAATCTCTTCTGTGTCAGGACAGAGTGAGGAAAGGGAGACCATGGATTCAAGTATTAGAAAACCTCAGGCGTTGCTTTAGGGGGTAGGGTCTCTAACCGCACTGAACTTCTTGGACTTCTTACCTGCCCCAGGAACAGAGAATGGATTATAGGTGGGACTCTGGCACCACGGACTCAGGTAAGGCTGCTGGCCCATGGCGTGCACATAAAAAAAGGGTCTGGCGTTACTGCCCTCGAAATGTGCGTTTTCTGAAGAGGCGTTCATGTCTTAGGCTGAAAGACAGGTGTTCATATTTAGGAAGGGGCAGTCGCACTCAAGTGCCATACACTACAGTTAACGGAGAAGTTCTCCTGTTTCCCTTTCAGAATTCCAAGTCTGGGTGGAAGGGTCCTCACCTCTTCTGGCTGGCCTGGGATGGCGGACACAGGGCTGCACGGCGTTGGGGACCCGGGCAGCGTTGCCCACAAGCCCGGGCCGCATCTCGCACAAACAAGTCTCGGCTCCCCAAAGCAGCAGCAGCAGCAGCACGGAGTGAAGACTGAGGCCAGGAGAGAACTTGCCGCAGCGCCTCGAACGTGACAGGCTGTGCCCAGGAGCTCCACTCCAGGGCCATCACTTAGGCCTGGCCTGCAGCGCCCTCGTCCTCAGCCTCTCGGGCGTGCCCACCGCGCCCCTTCCCCGGTCCAGAAGAGCCCATCCCGGGGGACCCAGCCTCTCTTTACCCACGACTCACACCCCACTCCCTGTCCTGCAAGTCAGTCGCCTCCACTCCCTCGGCACCCAACCCCACCACTCACCGTGTTCGGTACGCCCACCTGCTCTAAGCCAACCTCCACAACCCGGAACGTCTCTGACACCTGGGCCTTAGCTCCCACTTTTATAGGCTCCGCACGCTGCGCGGGCCTCCCACAGACGGCTCACGCATGCGCCCTGGGCGAGGATCGGAGCCTGACTGCTCCTCCCAAGGGCACCTGGAGAAGCCTTGGAGCAGTTTTCGGCACCATGCTCGCTCCGGCGCCTGGACGCCCTGGTGTTGGCGCTTCCAGAGGACGGGTCGGTTCCCTGTCCCATTCGCTCTCCCGGACTGTCCCTTCCATTTGAGTGTGTTCGGTGAAGACAGCTTATCTCCCCTGCTCTGAGCCCCTGGTCTCCTTCCTTCTTGGGCCTAACACCGCTGACACGAAGGAAGAGGAGCTGACGGAGGAAAAGGAGAGAGGAAGGAGGAGGCCAGCCTGGACCGTGTGGACCTGAAAGTGGGCGATTCATAAGGGAGGGGCGCTCCAGCCCCTACCGCTGCGGAGAGTAAAAGCAGGGGTGCAGAGGCTCTGGCAGTTAGGGCGCTCTGGGTTGGGAGAGTGAGGAACAGAGGGCCTGGGGAAGTCGTCTGTGGGCTGGTACATGGGCAGTTGGAGAGAGAAGCTGGCACACACGGGACTCCGCTTTTTTTGCATGGGAAAGAAAGGAAAGGCCTGGGATCGTAGTTAATGGGAGTCGTGGGGTTGCAAGGATTATTGTGAGTTTTTTGTTTTGTTTTTAAAGCGAGAGATTTAGGTATCTGTAAGGCCAGAATGGAGAGACAGGGAGATGTTACCTATAGTGGAGAGAGAAGGGATGTTAGGAGGATGTTCTGAGGAAGCACAAGGTGAGGTTAGCTAAGCCTGGTTACGATGCTTTGCCTCGGACAGAACAAAGTTACTGAGATAGGCGGGAAATGAAGTCTTTGAAGGCAGGAGTTTCAGTGCTTTAGCATGTGATGACCTTGATATTTTTCGTTTTCTAAAGTTTTTTATTTTGAGAGAGAGAGAGAGAGTATGTGTGTATGAGGGAGCAAGAGAGGAGAGAGGGAAAGAGAGAATCCCAAGCAGGCTCCTTGCTGTCAGCACGGAGCCTGACCTGGGGCTCAGTCTCACAAAACTGTGAGATCATGACCTGAGCTGAAACCAGGAGTCTGGCACTTAACTGACTGAGCTACCCATGTGCCCTACTCTTGATATTTTTCAATGGAGGGCAGAATAAAGACTTTAAGGGAACATTGAAAATTTGGGATGACTGTCTGCATTACCAGGTAAAGTTGTGTTTGAGCAGAAATACTGGTGCCTGAAACTGGATAAAGTTTTTCTTTCACATAGAGATGGAGGTATGCCATCCTTCCAGGGCAGGTCTGGAAGCTGCTTGCTGTCACAAAGAACCCAGTCTCCTTTCGTTTTGCTCTGCCATCCTTACAATGGTTTCCATCTTCAAAATGCCACATGTTCCAAGATGCTTGTTCCAGGCAGAAAGCAGAGGGTTGAGAAAGGAAAGGGTAAAAAAGAGCACAACAGGTACACAGTAGCTTCTCTTTTGTCATCAGTATTGCTTTTAAGGAGCTTTACTAGAAGACGTACCCAACTTCAGCTTATACCACAATGGCTGAAATGAAGTTGTCTTTTAGCTAGGCGTATTGCCACTTGCAATAAATTGAGATGCTATGACTAAGGAAGAGAATGGGTATTAATTGAGCTGACAACTAACAATGTCTGCCATACTGCTGCAGGGAAGGGAAAAAAACAGTCTTCTACAAACATGCAAAAGGATTGCTGGTAGAGTTGAGGGCTGACCTGGAATGAGGATCAATACTTCGTATTTTCCCTCATCTGTAGTGGTATATCACTTGCTCAATCATATTCAGTTGCTTGGGAGAGACCTTGAATGATTGCATGAATCCAAACCAAGGACTGTGGTTTTACAGAGCTTGTGGACAGAAGAGCAAGGGTTCAAGAAAGCTCAGTGTCATGGTGAGAAATTAATACATCATGACACATAATGTATACCCTGTACTTACATGACCGTGAACATGTGTGCCTCCTTAAAGTTTTACCCTAGGTGCCTCACCCCACCCTACTTAGTGGCCTAGTATATAGTCAGGAAGAGAAAGGAAGTAATGTCAGACGGGAGCTGATCAAATGGAGAAAAAATTAATGGAAATCTTTTACATGACAGGGAGTTGTAGTCAGAGAATGGACAGTTTAAATTTAGGATTTCAGAGTTGGAACTGTTGCTAATTATAACAAGGTCCATCGGGTGATCAAGTAGTGCTTTGCTCAGATGCTGTGTGGTGAGAGTCATTGGCACTGAGGAAGGAAAAGATCTTGGAAGCTGGAGTTTTGGATGACTCACCCCCTCCTTCATATCGTGGTCATGTAGATAGAGGTTTCCTATGTCCTCAATGAATGTGGCACAGTGACTCACAAGGTGAAGGACAGAAGTATCAGAAGATGTTTGTATTTATAATTTTATAATATTTTTCTTGAAGATAACCCCCCAAAATTTATAATAGTCAGTCCCCAGAAAACTGGGATTTTTCACAAGCTAGTGGCCATATCTCAGTGCTGGGGTGCATGAACAGTGAAAGAAAGAAGAACCTCCTTATGAGGGTAGCTCAGAACAGGAGTGTCCTTGGGAGGAAACAAAGTTCAGCAACTATTCAGAAATAGGTTGAGGGATATAGTGGGTTGTGTTCAGCCAAACAGGGCTTCCAAGTTACATAATCGAGAGGGTTCGTAGGTAGATCAGCAGGGAGCAGGATTGGAATGAGAGTGTTCCAGAAATGCCAGCTAATTGGAAGCTTTGGATTTGAGGCTGTGCTGGAAGATGTCACAGATGAAACTACCCAGTTTTGTACTACTTGGTCTGTAGTGGTACTATCTGGCTCATAGATTCCACTAGACCTCTAATATAAAAATGTTTTTGTGCCAACTGAGGCATTTTGTGTGGGGTGGGGTGTCTGAGGTTAGGTGGTGGTTGCTATTTTTATGTTAAGGTCCAGTTAGTGAACTCTGTGTTCTCTGCTCAGGATTCCAAATGGGTATTATTATCATTGTCTCTATTTTAAGATGACGACACCTGAGATTCAGGGAGGTTAAGTAATCTAACCATATATATGAAGTTTCAATCCTAAATTGGAAGGAGATTGGGCTAAGGTCTTTGGATTCCCAGGCCCAGTGCCTTTTCTGTTGCTTGGGCGGTCCCTGTTACTCTCCTTTTGACAGTCTGACAGTCTCTCTCTCATTAAAGCAGCCTGATTTATACTTTCCCCTCAGTTGACACACTGGATTTTATATTGAAAATTTAAACAGCAAGTGTAATAATAATAATAGTCTTGTTTTCCATACCTTGAGCTTCCTCTTTAACATATTGGTGAGCTATAAACACATCATGGATGCTCAGCCTTACTAGTGAACCTTCATTCACTCATTTCCTCCACAAATATTTGAGTACATACAAAGGGACCAGCACAACTGTAACCCTAAGGAAACAGCAGGGAAGAAAAAATTATAATTCCTAGGGAGTCTACATTCTTTTGGGATTTGCAGTGAGATGCCATTTACAACCATCCCACGGGGGGGGGGGGGAAATGTAACCAGTTTGACAACACGAGAGTTAAGGAGGAAGAAGTGAAGTGGTAGGAACATGTATAGACTGCTGCTGGTGATACTTCAAATCACTTTGGAGAGCAAGCTGACAATATCAAAAAGTTGAAAAATGGTTGGGGTGTCTGGGTGGCTCAGTTGGTTAAGCGTCCACCTTCAGCTTGGGTCATGATCTCATGGTTTGTGGGTTCAAGCCCTGCATCAGGCTCTGTGCTGACAGCTTGGAGCTTGGAGCCTGGAGCCTGCTTCAGATTCTGTGTCTCCCACTCTCTCTCTGCCCCTCCCCCACTTGTGCTCTGTCTGTCTCTCTCTCAAAAATAAATAAAATGTAAAAAACCACAACTTTTTCTTAAGTTGAAAAAGGGTCATACTCCATAAACTAGCAATTGTACATCTAGAAATATTCTAGAAAAAACTTCTGCATATGATCCCAAGGAGCCATCTATTAAAACTGTTTGTTGCAGGGGTGCCTGGGTGCTCAGTCAGTTAAGTGTTGGACTGAGGTCATGATCTCACAGTTTATGAGTTCAAGCCCTGCAGTTGGGCTCTGTGCTGACAGTTCAGAGCCTGGACCTACTTCAGATTCTGGGTCTCCCTCTCTCTGCCCCTCCTCCCACTCACGCTCTCTCTCTCTCTCTCAAAATAAATAAATATTAAAAAAAAATCTTGTTGCAGTAGCATTGCTTGTAACATAAAAGAATTGAAAACCACCCAAATGTCCATGAAACAAGAGAATACATAAATTATGGTGTAGTACACAGGAGTTAAATAAATGAACTAGGATCACATCTGTCTCCATGGATAAATCTCTTTTTTTTTTTTTTTAAGTTTATTTATTTTGAGAGAGACAGAGCATGAGCAGGGAAGGGGGGGGAGAGAGAGAGAGAGAGAATGAATCCCAAGCAGGCTCCGCACTGTCAGCACAAAGCCTGACTCTGGGCTTGAACTCATGAGATCATGACCTGAGCCCAAACCAAGAGTCAGATGCTTAACTGACTGAATCACCCAGGCACTCATCCATGGATAAACCTTAAGTACAAGTTTCTAATTTATAATTTCCTTTATAAATATCTTTTAGAGTTATAAATTTCCTTGCTATTGAAAGTTAGTTCTTTCATTTAAATTACATTTTTTAACTGTATTGGTGGTATATAGGAATACTATTGACTTTTTTTTTTTTTTTAATTGAGTATAGTTGACACAGTGTTAGTTTCAGGTGTAAAACCTAGTGATTTGACAAATTGGTATTTTTTTTAATGTTTATTTTTGAGAGAGAAAGAGAGTGTGGGAGGGGCAGAGAGAAAGAGTGAGAGAAAGAATCCCAAGTAGGCTCTGCACTGACAGCAACAAGCCCGACATGGGGCTCAAATCTGAGCTGAAATCAAGAGTCAGATGCTTAACTGACTGATACACCCAGGCGTCCCTTGACAAGCTTATACATTCACCACAAGTTCACCACAAGTGTAACTACCATCTGTCCCATTATATTGCTGTACAATACCATTGTATTCCTTATGCTCTGTTTTTATTCCCGTGATTTACTCATTCCATAACTGAAGGGCTGTATTTCCCTCTCCCCTTCACCCATTTTGCTCAACCTCCTGCCCCTTCCTCTCTGGCAACCATCAGTTTGTGTTTATAGTTCTGATTCTGCTCTTTGTTTATTCTTTTTTTTCCTTAACATTCCATTTATTAGTGGAATCAATGGTATTTCTTTCTCAGTCTGACTTAGTCACTTAACATAATACCCGCTAAGCCCATCTACTGATATTTTTATTCCAGCAACTTTGCTGAACTCTCATTAGTTTCAGAGTAATGGTAGATTACTCT